ACCTCGGAGCCGGCGGATGGTCTGCCAGAATACTTTGTTTGCCGTGTGGAAATTCGACTCCAACGCCTCAGCGAACTTCTCCAAGGTATCAGCCTTGGCTTTTGCCACTGCTTTGGCTGCCGCCTTGCGTGCCTGGACATATCGCATGCGAGTAGAAGGTTCTGTGTTTCCAAGCCATTTCTTGAACGCTGCTTTCTTCTCTTTAACTGCTGGTTGTATATTTCGTGTGCACCAGGAAGATCATTTCTTTCTTCCAGGTGGCTGGCCAACCAACACCGGCGTGAGCACGAGTCGTGATATCGATGATTGAGTAGAATAGCTTCCACCGGCTGAGTCTAAGCCTTGGCGGGTAGTTGACGAGAGTCCAATAACGTCGATATTGTACTTTATGGCCTCATCAGCTAACTCTTGCTCTTTTCCTCTGAACGAGGATATGTTCGAATTTCCGACTTTAAGATCCCTCTGGTGGTGTCGTTTCCGTGGAGCCTTATCTGACGTGCTGTAATGGCATCGCGCTGTCTGCCTCTTCCGTTCAGAACGGGTAGCGACTCCGTTGCCGACTGGTATCTTCGTCGTCGTTGCGTCGGTCTTCGTCAGCCGTTGTTGTGCTTCTGTGCACCTGGCTAGCGGAGGCCAATAAGCAGGTTCTGATCGCCGACTTTTCGCAGTCTGCCTTAGTCCCTGAACAGCCTGCGCGGCCCTTGGTATTCCGGGTAAATTCGAGCCGGTATAATTTTTTTGATGGCGTCGATACCACTAATGGCGGGTGGCTAAAGTCTACGGTGATTTTGCCACGGTCTCGAATCCTCCCCCTTTCTCACCGGGTTGGGACCGGCAGCAGCAGAATATAATTTATTGCACTGCATAGATAATAAGTTCAGTTCATTCGAGTCAGTTCTTTTGGCTACTAAGAACAGTCAGATGAAGCTTAAACATAGTACCATGGTGATTTAACACTATGTGCCTTGTTGAACGATAAACTGTTTTGAACTGGTAATCGCTTGTGCTTTTATTTGGATAACTAGAATGTGATTGAAATATCCTTCCTTTATGTATGTTGCCTCAAAGATGAAAGGTTATTTCTTATTCACTGGCTGCATTTCCGTTTTATCTGACCGTTTAGGAGATTATGATCTTATTCAAGGTGACCACAGGTAATGTACATCGAAGTAATTCGATCGCTGACTCATCTTCATCCCATAGAAGCAATGTCCTGGGCTTCTAGAATTCACATAGTTGTAAAGCGAACGTGAAGTGCAAAATTCGAATTAAATTTTCATTTTTTTGTCATGATGTTATTATGATTGCTTTCAGTGGAGTATAGCGCCTGGCGTGCTCTCGCGTCATAAGCTCGAATCTTTCGAAGGGAAATCGGTCGCTGACGCGGTTACGATGTCGTTGATGAAGTTTGGCAAAAATCAGTCCGTCCACGGAAATTTGAATTTTAAAGTTCGTCCAGGCGTGTTTCTGTCAGCATATGTTCACCCTAGGCCAGAATATAAGGATTATCTGGTCCTGAATAGTTGACTATAGCCAGCGCAAGGTAGATCTAACGGATTTAAAATGATGCAAAACGGATCTGGCACTGCTTGTGCTCAAATATAATAGACTCGTAGCCTGCTAAAAGTGCCCCACCCATCCACCCCCGCAAGCGATTAGGAGTGAGTGGGTGATACAACATATTATGAGATGCGGTTTTGCATGAAGCATTCGTCGTTAGACGAACTTGGCGTACGAGCTGTTTACGAAATTTAGGCGGTAAGATATAAGGAGTACCAGCTTCTGAAACATCGTTGGTGATGAGCCTGAGGTGAACATAGCAGACAAAGTGATGCAAAATGCATTTGGCACTGCAGGTATTCAAACACAATGAAGCCATAGCCTGCTTAAACAGCCCCCCCAGACAACTAAGAACAAGTGGGTAGTGCAGTACGCTGTGAAATCTGGTCTTTAAGGAGCTATGCGTTAGAAGAAACAACATGTAACTATATTTTGTCTGAAAGTTTTGCAGGCTGTCGGTTGTACCAGATATTATCTGATGCTCCCTATCCATCTCCTGTATAGTTTTGTATTTAAGATTTAAACAGATAGTTGGAGAGGTGTCGAATTGGATGCACAGATTCACGGTATTTTCCTCAGCAGACGCAAAATGTGGACTGTTTTGAAGCCACAGAAAATTTGCCTATGGAGTTCGGTATATGCATTAGTTAAAGGGTAAATGCGCATATTCGAAATAACGATATTTCTTGGGTAGTGGCACTTTTTTCTTTAGCATTATAACCGGACTCTACTACCCTCTGAGTACTCGCTTTTGCTTATTCTGTGCTCAGCGACAATCACCCTCGCTTTTATTCGTTTCTCTTTAGTGTGACGTTGAAACGCCATTGGGTTTATAGATGATTGCACAGGTGTTGCTTAAAATAGTATAGAGTAGTTTTCCTGTAGTATTTTATGGCTACTGATTTTTGCATTTGTCGCTTGCTTCGCAACACCTGCACTATCGATCTATAATTTGCGTACTCCGTCGAACCTCCTGTTTCACTCTCCTGTCAGTTGGCGGATGAGGTGTAGGACTGGTCGGTAACAAAATAATTTAACAGTGTTCTTTATTTTTATCCTGTTCGTAAGTTGGCCGTTTCTTTGGTCAAAGTTCATTGAATCATCATTCAGAACGTAAGCAGTAGCATATTGTTTAGACTAGCGTTCTATGGAAGAATTGTGTTCGTGGAACTAGTTATGGCATGTAACGAGCAAGGTTTACTGTTATCCGTTATCGGAATTATTCATACTGTGGTCATGAGTCGTGAACAAAAGTCGATGATCCTTCAGCGTCTCTGTTCTCCGTTTTCTGCCTCAACCGCTGACCAAGTGATTTGGCCATTGGTTCATCGCTGCGTGTTCCTGAACGACCAACTGGACGTTGGCGGTTCAGCGGAACCCA